AAGCACGAATATGCCAACTTTAATTAAACGAATTGTTTTTCAACAAATTTACGTTAAATATTGGTTGATAGATATACTGAATCAATTGAATGGAAAACATTTTCCTGGTATAAGTGCCTAGACTGTTCCTTCCGTTTTTACACTCTAAATATTGGTTTACATAACCAATCTCTAGTTGAAATAACTAACAATAAGTGATTAATATGTGTCTAATATAACCAAGCGATTGGTTGGACACATAATATTAACCAATGATTACATTAACCAATGATTGGTTATGTTAACTAATACGGGCGTCGTGTAGAGTCGAATTATTCTCAAGATTGAATCAACTGCACGAACTTAATGAGCTCATGCATTATTGTTTTAATGCAATCCTTGAAAATGACCTTCCTGTCCCATTTAACCTTATTTTTAATATTTTGTTTGCGCAGTTTCAAGAGTATTTTGGTGCCGTTTTGGTGTTTATGCTAATTTAAATTTCCATATTCAAAAGCAAATCTGTGATGTCATTTTAGGCATGCGAACCTTGAATGTTACAATTTAATTCAGCACCAAAATTGCCCAAAATTGGATATTTTGCTGTCGTAACTTTCTTTTCTTTGGTGATTCGTTGTTGTGTCAGTATATGGCAGTAAGCCAATAAGCAAACTTTCCTCAGCTGTTTTCAATGGGCAAATGTTTGGGTTCACAATTTGAAGAGAAAACAGTGTCTTCTTGAAATGACATCACAGCAACAGCGCCCTCAGTTGTCCGGAAGAGCATGGCAAATGTTAAAATGATTAATTGAAGAAGTGCACTTTTCAACAACAAATAAACCCAAAAAGGGATATCAAATAGTTTTTAATTAAGAGGAGCAGAAAGTTGCACAAATTTCATGAACCCTGAAACTTGAGTTAGACGTTTAAAGCTAGGAGATCGGGGACTACAATCAAACAATCAAGACGTTGTGGTCGTTCGGCACAACTTTGGATTTTTTTTTTTTTTTTATAGAGGATCATTTGCTTTTCTTTCAATTTTATTCCTTTCCTGATTATAACACCACTCAAAATCCAACGAAGAGTGATCAATACCAGACGTGTTGAAATGTCGGCTGAGTCGATATTAAAATTGTTGAGTACACATTGAAAAACCATTAAACCCTTTTTCTATTACGAACGATTTCGACTTCATGTATAATTCTTTATTTCCAAAAATCGATTGCTGACTGATCATTGGACATTAATCACCTAGGCCTTAACATTTCTTAAGTTCTAATCTCACGTGGTGTTTAGTACCAGTACGATATTTAATCCAAGTATAAGCGCACACTATTCGGTAGGTTACATTATGGGTTATTGATTAATGCAAATTAAAGTTGGTGTATACGTGTTTTTAGGGGTCGCACCTTGCAAAATAGATTTTCAAGTTGACTGAATGGATGATTTACTAGCATTACTTTAGCTAAGAGCTTTTCAATGAGACATTGCACGAAAAAAAAAATCGGCCGAGGACAAGTAATCGATTAACTAATTTCAACTTATTTCAAATTCGTTCTGAATAGTGTGCGCAATTTCTGAACTGGAGCGCGCCATTTCAAACCACTTGTTAAAACTGTATAAAGACCTGCAAAAACAAACAAGAAACTGTATTTTGTTGCTAGACATTTTTTCCCTTTCAATTTCGATTCGTTCGGAAAAGAAAATCCATATTTTGAAAAAGCACGTCATATACCAACTTTAATAATGCGTAAACTTCGTTTGTGAGATGAAGCTGGCCGCTAGTCTACGATAAAGTCTTTTTTGGTAGTTCTTTTATCCACCCCTGTTCCGCCCACTTCAGTCTTGGTACATTCTATCTTCCACAGCCAGTCCTGATTGGTTGTTCTCAGGCAGTGACGTACCTGAAGGGCGCGGCAAAACGTTATGACTGGAGCTTCTGCCTTGGTGACGTCAGTTTTGCTCATGAATATGGAAATTAAAATGAGCATAAACTGACTGGTAACGAATATGCAAAAAGACTCAGATATGTTTTAGGGATTTAATTAAATCTACAAATTACATTGCCTTATTAAAGTTATTAATATTAGTTAGTACAACGATTTCGATTTTATTTATGTTATATTTTATTTATTTATTTTTGGGGACGGGAGGGGTTTGACACCAATATTACACACTTCAAAACAGTCATATTAGAACTTTTTGTAAATGTGCGTCCCGTGGAATTTATTTCACATTCATCATACCAAAAAATATATACTTTTTTAAGGTTATTATCATATTAAAATCCATTATCTTTGAAAAATGCATGTACATCAATTTAAAATGGAATGTAATTACTTTGTGAAATGTTTGCTACAGTCATTGGACATTGTACAGCGCTGCAAACGTTTCTAACAAATATACACTGCACCTAAAGCAGTTACAACTATTCACTGCGACATTTTACAGAAAAACCTGCAGAAAAAAATTAATGCAGGCGATCCAGAACATGCATGTGGTGTGTCCCGTCCCATCCCCCAGGGCCCTCAAACGTGGTAAAGAGCGCCATCTTGTGTTGGGGCATGGAGCCGATACTCTTACAACAAAAATGTCACTGAATGGATTGTTCCCAGCCATCAAACAAATATCAAAGACAAGTTGTCTGCGGACCGCATGCGACGCCTTTTTCCTGCAGCGCAGCCGATCCCTATTGTATGTGTTCTTTAAATAAGTCAAATAACCCCTAGATGACCTTTGACCTCCAATTTTGGAAGACTTGTAATGAACCCCCACCCTATATCACTCCATCCAAGTTACATCAAAATCCATCCAATTCTGCAGACAAATAAACATTTGAAGCATATTTGAAGAGTGACCTCTAATGATCGCTGCCTGACCTTTGACCTCAGTAATCCGATGAAGAATTGGGTCTTCCCATCGCTGCATCAAAGTTTCATCAAAATCCATCAAATCATTAGTAGAAGTGCAAGTGATACAGAATTTAGGACCGGTGAGTGTTTCCCAAAACCTTCTTTTAAGCGACTCAAAAACCAGAATTGAGCAACAGAAGCACTAAATTTACCCAGGATTTTATTTCTTCTTAGACTGATTCAGGGTGCCTTCAGTATTTACACTGGTGGGTTCTGATGGACTCAGGACACCAACATGGTTTGCGTGACACAATTGGTGGATTTTGGCGGATTCAGGATACTTTCTAATAAAAGTGCTAAAGCTGAATCTGTTTACTCCAATACTCTGACATTATGTAAATTAGCACTCTAAAATCAAGAGAAATATTTAGATTTGTTCGCCAATTAGGAATTTCTTGTGCTTGGAATCTAAAAGCTGGTGAAATAAAGTTTAGGGAAATTTAACGAATTTATCTTCAAGCAATCTTGACGCGCAGTAAAGGTGGAACTAGTATGATTTACATGAACCTTTTAGCGATTTAGCGCATGCAGCTGGAATGTCGTTCGCATCTTGGAAGAGCGCAACACGCAGGGTGCGATGTGGACCGTGCAATACAGCCTCATATCACCATTGTTGCCCTGGATCCACCAATCAGGATCGAGGATACAAGTTTGCTTGAAGAAAGTACCTAGTGTCCTCTAAGTACCTATCTGACTGACCGACTGACTGACCGACTCCCTCCCCGTCACTCTTGCCCTGGTTGCTGACTAACGAAGAGAGTGGGGCAGTGCTATTACAGAGTGGCAGGATCACATAAGGAATGTAGGCCTCTACGCTGGCATGCCGAAGGTGACGAAAAAGATCCGGGAACGTTGTCTCAAGCTTGCAGGGCATTGCGTCTGTCACCTGGAGCTGGCCTCTAGCCCGATCATTCTCTGGGAGCCCGCAAGGGCACTGCCTCACGTGGGAGAAGTCTCTCCTTTGTGGACATGCTGAAACGGGACCCCAGCTTGACCACCGCTGAGGAGATGCGCTCCTGCATGCTGGACCAACATCTGGACCCAGATCATTGGAAGGGCTCGAGCTGCCAAAGGGCCTCGACTTGTTTGATTGATCATATAGGATACACCATATACGCCAACGAATGGGCGAAATCCGGCCCACTGTGTAGACCAGATGCATGATAAGACTTCCAGTGAATAGCCATTTCTGAATCAATACCAGTGATTCCCAATCCAGTAAGCCACCAAGAGGTTCCACAGAGAGTTAATTTTTCGGTCGACAAAAGCATGGCTGACATGCCGCAATATAAACGAATGTCAGCAGACAACCTCAGGAATTGTTGATAGATCAAGGCAAAGCATTCTTTGGCCTAGCACAAAACACCATATCTAGATAAACAAGTACCAAGTGGTACAACCCACGGTGGTTCCTCAAACCTTAAACCGCAAATTTGGCTTTGCAATGGGGCGTGATCTAATATGCAAATTAGACGCATGCACGCATATCAGAGTCACAAAACTGCAGGTATTCCACAGAAACTCACTGCCAAAGCTGTGATACACGCGTGGCATGCATGGAAACAGTATAACGGCCGAGTAAAGTGTCCACCAACCAATTACCCACCAGCCAACTCATCAACCAACCAACATAAGCAGCTCAAGCTCATGGCGTGTTTCACACCGCCGTGGGAAATAAAACGTAAAAAGATACTCACTTTATTCATTTATACGCTTACGAACCTACTGACCGGACAAACTAACAATTTTAAGTGTACCGTGCCATGGTAAATTTGTTGACCGTCTTGCACACTGCACTGCTAAACACTGACTCTCCGTAGTGACCTCAGGGGTTCGTTCGAGCGTGTTACTTGCTACTCCCGAGTGCAGGAAAATGTTGCGTGCGCATTACTTCCAGTGCAGGAGTATATTCCCGGTATAACGGAGATCTTGCTAACCAGCGGGTCATACTCCTGCCGTTCGGGCGCTCAGGAGTATACTCGCGTTAACACGAGTAGCACGCTCGAACGCACCCCTGGTGGCTGACTGTACATGTATTGGGAATCGCCAATTTTTATTCAGAATGTCTATTCACTGGGGCTGGGTTTCACCCATTCATTGGCTTTACACAGGTAATCCTATATGATAGCACTGCCCCGCTCTCGTCATTATTAGGTATGCGTCTTGTCTTGTTCGTCAAAGAGACCAGTGATGTCCGAATTCCTAAATTCTCGTCAGTGAAATCCAGGCATTGGATAGCCAGCTGTCTGCCGCTCTCTTGGCGTTCCGACCAGTCGGTGGGTTCTCCCGCTGCTGTGGCTGTTTGTCGCCCTCTGACGGCTGTCCATGGACAGGGTCGGGAGCCGGTTCAACCCCGGGCGGTACTGCGGCTGCAGGTTGTCGTTTGTGTCCCGCGGAGTGCGGTTACCCACCTTGAACAAAATTTTTAAAAATGTCAACAATTCTTGAAAGCTGAACAAAGAGATTGACAGAAGCAGGGTTCGAACCTGGGACCTCCAGATATCCGTTCCGGTGCTCTACCAAGTGAAGAAACACGACTGTGACATTATTAAGGGAATAAATATGTGCTTGGAAGGTAGTGAACCTTATGGTTAAGACTGGTTGGAGTTGGAATGCTGATAACTAGGCGAAGCCGAGGGTAATTATCAGCATTCCAGACTCCAACCAGTCTTAAACACAGTGTTTAATACCGACCAAGCACATATTTATTCCCATTCATAAATACCTTTTCAGTCAAAAAAAAAATCAAAACTTTTATATCCAAAAGTCAAAACCAGTGAAAAAATGAAAATTTCCAATGACTTTGTTCAACGATTTCACTTTCTGTTTCTCGAAACACCCCTCTAGCTATATAATGGATTTCGTAGGAGTCCACATTTCATGCGACACTTGAAAAATGTTTAATACCAGCCAGCCATGTCTTTATCATCTGTTTAAGACCGGCCATGTGAGCTCTCGACCAATAGGAATGGGTAAACTGTCTTAGGTATTTATGAATGTAATGCAATTATTTAAATGACATAGCTTAATCTAGTGTGCTCAATGCAGCGGCGTAACAATGGTCAAGTTTCTAGAGGGCACATGGGGTGAACCAATTTTTCAAGGGGGGCACTGAATCCAGTAAAATAAACATTGTTTGTGTGCAATTCAAGATTTCAAATGGGGCGCATCCGGAGAAGGGGGGGGGGGCTTGCTTTCAATTCAAAGTAATGACTTTAATCCCTAACCGCCCTGAATCCTCCAAAAATCCTTTTTGCAAATTGGAGGAATTTGCAGGATTGAGGTTACATGGCCAAAGTGCGTTGCTGATTTCGGAGTACGCACTGTGTCAAGGTCTTGGGCCGGACCTTGTGTTGTTTATGCTCAGCCGTGCATAAATTTAGTCCTTGATTATACTTGACAACCTCCGCACTGCTCCAGGATGTCACTGCCTCTGCCTCTGCCTATGGACAGTCATAGCCGGAGGATTTTGCAGGATTCAGGCAGTGGTCACCCCTCCATGGACCATATTCAAGAACAACGGAGGAATTTGCAGGATTAAGGCTACATGCTATTTTTCCATGAGGCCAATTGGAGGAGTTTGCAGGATTGAGGCTACATCCTAGCAAAAAGGCCTAGGAGTTAGGGTTAATTAATTGAAATTATAGATCAACTTACTGTTAAGGCAGAATCCTTTAGGAATGCATGCATTTCAAGGAGACAAAATGAAAACCAATCCAAAAATAAATAATAGGCACCCAAAAAATACATTCAACGATACAATTCAATTATTGATTTTCTCCATGTATTTGATATACACAGTGGCTTTGCCTCCTAAATATCGAGCTTTTAATTGAAATCACTTGGCTTCACTCTCAGGTGAAAACAAAAATCGAAAAACAAAAGTCTCCTTTAAAACTGAATTGAGACTCGGCTCGTGAAATACTGAGGACCCTGTCTTTGCCTCGACACTTTTTGTGAATTTTTTCTTCGAAAGAGGTGAGCAAAGTTTGCCGATTGGTTTGCCTGTTTCTCTGGGATACTGCGTGTGGGCAACAAAAATGGTGAGAAAAGCGCCCTCTAGTGTTTGTTAACAGAGTTAATTGAATATTACATATAACAAGTTCGCTAATTTTCCTCTGTATTGACTAACAAGCCCCCAGATAGCGATTTCATGTCATCAAAGTCAATTTGAGCAGTGAGAAAATACAAGCATTTTCTTAGAAAACACTTAGAATTTTTCAGTCCACTCTCATCTATAGGGTTTGTACACAGGGTGTTGAGTGAACTTCTTATATGGAAATCTTTCCGAATATATATACTAACCATCTGCGGTCGGCCTGTCGTTCGCGTTACGGCCAGGCCCCCGGCCCGGTGGTCAACGCGTACCGGTGAGCTGTCGGTAAACATGCGATTGAAGTTGCCTTCCCGGTTGCTGAGCTCCATGCGGTACATGCGGACTTCACGGCGAAGGCGCTCCAATTCTTCGCTGAATTCCTGCAGATGTCAAAACATACATTGGCGAACCCAGGGTCAAGTTCTAACTGGGACTGTTACTGCATACTAACTACGGTACTGAGGGTTTTTACTCACCATTTGGCTAACTTATACTCCCCACACAACACGTATCTCAAAATGCTCTACAGTATGTCCCAAAAATGTGCCTGACTGACTGTTTTTAAATTTTTACAAACAGTGAGGTCAATTTTGAAATTGTTTTGGTTGTGTAGATGCTCCTAAGCCTTGGCCTCAACCCTGATGAGTTTCATTAATTTCAGTCAGGCATCACTGCACAATTGTCAATTGATCACAACGACACTTTTGGATACTGTGACCAAGTTCCTTGCCTTAATCAATTTCAGTGCTGTTTCATGTTACTTAGGCCTATCACAAACATGGTAGAATAGTTTGTGTCATGGAGGGACGATTTCACTAGTTCAAAGTGACACCGGAACGTGGCGTTATTTACATGCCACGTTCGCAGGTCTATGCCTTAAACACCAAGTGGCACTATACCCCTAGAACTATGGGTATTACACGTGTAATACCCATAGTTCTAGGGG